TCATCACCACCACCACCACCACCAGCACCACCACCACCAGCACGACAACCATCACCACCACCACGACAACCATGACCATCTGACGATGGTGAGTCAAATGAGAGTCATGCGGATGGTGCGGATTGCAGCAAGTCGGGGCCTCTCCTCTCCTCGCATCAGCAGCATCGAGCAAAAGCCTACAACGGCGGTATGCAAATCAACAAATTTGCAGCGCTTCCTTTCCCCCACTTTGGGGTAGAGGCGCTCAACACGCCAAAGGACATCCACTACACGCCCAAGACCGCCTGTACTTGGTACTCTTGAGCCTTCTGGCCAGCACCTACGAAAACAGGCATGCATGCAGCCCCAGTACTAGCACATGCAGCGAGCGGTGATGACCTCTCCCTGCCCGACACATGCATATGCACACACATATAGGGGGACGATGTTCGGTGCGGTGGGGAACAGAATGCAACGAACAGAATGTGCACCCGCACATATTGAGAATAATATCCTTGCCCCGACAACCGGTCGGCCACGCCTAAATGCCCCCGTGTGCCCAGCAAAACACGCCCGTGAAGGTGATGTGATTGTGGGATGGGGCCGCGCAGACTCGCAGCTCCCATGTCGTCTAGCAACGGGGCGTATGAGACCCGATGTGTGTGCTGTCTGTCATCGCAGTGGTCGCGTGGCCTAATGGATAAGGCATCGCCCTCCGGTTTTACGCCAGGGATTCAGGCGGGGATTGTGGGTTCGAGTCCCATCGTGATCGACTGCAGGAACACTTTTGATGAAATCGTGGGCACACGCCAACAAGCGCAGACAGGGAGGAGAGAAGGCGAGGAAGATATGACGATGGGCTTTGGATGGGAAAGGAGAGGATAGGAAAGGGAGCTGTAAGCAAATGTGTAACGGTCGTCCGGGGTTTGCTCACGCAAGCAGGTTCATGAGGTGGCTTTCCTATCAGAGATAGATACACATGCCCAACTCAGATGCACAGATGCAGAACATAAATGTGTGGTGTAGGGGGGTACAGCTTTGCCCACGGACAATAGCCGGGCAGTCCTACCTTTCCACATGTTTGGGGGAGACTCATCCA